CATGACAATGAGTGTATGTACGTATAAACCGTGGCCGTAGCGGCAACTATTGAGCAGAAAGGGTCCAGGGTGCAAAGCGGCTTCTGCGGTGCAATCTTTAGCACTCTTGCTACGATTCTTCTCACTGGGTCAAGGTTCGAGTCATGGCAGGGTCGAGTGTTTTGCCGATGCCTTAGCTAGCGTTCTCGTTCTCGGATTGCGAACTATGGTGTTACCATGTATATCCACATAATCCCGGGATTATCGTTGGAATATAACGAAATATTCTTTGGTAGATCCAAGCTCAGAAAAGCTCAAAAAATTCTCATGAGGGTTGTTGTTTCATCAGTGTGTTTTTCTTTTTGTAATTTTCTGAATTGGGGTCTAGATTTGATGTTGGGTAAAAGAAGTCGAAAAGAGAGAAAGAGCAGGAGGGAAGTGAGGGACAGGGGTCGTATCATGGAGCAAAATGGGAAGGGCGCTGCTGAAATTTTATCCAGCTCAGTTACGTGTCCTGTACGGAAAATCAAGTGAAGAAACTGTTTGCTTTTCAATACTTACTGTATTGTGCATGACGCTGAAGCGTATCAAGGGGCTGAGTTTGGCGGGGCGCGATCCGGTTCTCTACCAATTATAGAAGCTGGCAGGCGACTACAATTGGAGGAAAACAGGCTGGCGCTGCACCAAACCCATCTTTCACTGACACGCCCCAGCGTCTCCAGTAAACAAGACTATATATCTGTATTTTTCAAAATTTCAGGGGATATTTCTATCAGACAATGGCCGATTTTCTTCATCATGTTCGAGCTTCGTTATCTTTCGAAATGCTGGCGCAGTTCGTCCTTTTGTTTCTCATTTTCTGCTTTTCATCCTAAGTTAATGTTATAATTGCAGCGTCGCTTTCATATTCTGCCGTGAGATGCACGACAACCTGCTGCCGTATCAGGTGAGATGGAACTTTACAATTTGGTTATCTCACCACAGCGGAGAAATATCTATTCACATACAGATTCAAGTGATATGTGCCAGAATGCTGAGCAGTGTTTTGGAAGGATTGACAAAACATGCTAAGGAAGGAGAAGCGGTTAGTCTTATGAGAATGGCAGTCTAACAATTTGAAAAATGGCAAAGTTTGAAATTGTAACTTTCGTAATTTCCAGAATCGCGATCTCAAATTGTGACTTCCGTGATTTCCAGAATCGCGATCTCATTTTGATGATACTGGAAAGCTTGGTGGTGAAAATGAAGGTCATTGCTGTCTACCACATGCCTTTGCTGTTCAAGCAACATGGTGCTGAAATCAACTACGCATTATAAATCGTGGCGACGAGACGGTTAGCGCATTTATAGTGGTCCCCATTTTCTGTTTACAAATTTTAATGACCTCGACGGCTTCCCACCGCAGGATGTTCTCGGTTTGGTGAAAGGAAACGCGGACATCCGAATAATTTGTGGTGCATAGTGTTACCATCGGTAGGGTTGTTGCCGTCGAAGCCTTGTAAGCTAAGTGATAACTCCACTAGCAAATAATATAAAAAGGCGGTGAGAGGATCTGACATAGAGCGCATCGTTGTTGGTATTCCCCAACAGAGAGGGGGTTTATCTGGGCCAAGAAAAGTTTTTTTGTGGTGATTTTTGGTTGTGTCACAGGGCAATTGTAAAAGGGGAAGGAAACGGTGTTTCCCTCTGTCACTCTGAAGAGGTTGCTCGACTTTCGTGATTTTCCTCGTTGGCGCTGCGTTTAAACTTTGCGGCAGCGTAGGCGTAGCGTAGCGCAGCGTAGCGTAGCGCTTCCAGCGTACGCCAGCGGCAGTGCCGAAGAGAGGATGCATATCGATCTAGCTTCACCAGCGTCACCAGCGGCACGCTGGCGTACGCTAGCGTACGCCAGCGTTTCTCCAGCGTTTCACCAGCGTTTTGCTAGCGCTTGCAGCGGCAGGGGAGTAGAGACTATGTGGCCGTGAGAGAAGCGGAATCGGCTTGTATTGTAGAGACCATATGGCCGTCGGAGACGCAGAAGCGATGTGCATTGTAGAGACTATGTGGCGTCGGAGACGCAGAAGCAATGTGCATCGTAGAGACTATGGGGCCGTCGGAGACGCAGAAGCGATGTGCATTGTAGAGACTAAGGGCGAGTGGGAGACGCGCAATCGATGAGTTTTGTAACCCATCCCTCTCCCGATATGTCATACTCCCTGCCGCTGCAAGCGCTAGCAAAACGCTGGTGAAACGCTGGAGAAACGCTGGCGTACGCTAGCGTGCGCTAGCGTACGCCAGCGTGCCGCTGGTGACGCTGGTGAAGCTAGATCGATATGCATCCTCTCTTCGGCACTGCCGCTGGCGTACGCTGGAAGCGCTACGCTACGCTGCGCTACGCTACGCTACGCTGCCGCAAAGTATAAACGCAGCCTTACATGTTAGTAACCCCTCCCTTCCGCTCATACACAAAAATTTTGGGAGAAGTAGGGAAATTTTCGGGAACTTCCGGAAAAGTATTAGGAAGTTAAGGAAAATCTAAAAAAAATGGTAGAAGGGGGTCGTATTCTCCTCGCGGTTTTCCTGTTTCGCATGTGCTCCCCTCCCCCCGCCCGACAGCTTGATGAGGAGGGAACCAGGGAGGTCGTAACAACATCTAAAACCAGGGCGGGGGCACGTATTCGACCAAAAGCCCTAACTGATGTTGTTCCCTCATCTGAGGGTGCTCCAAGTTTCTGTGCGACAAGATTTTGGTTTCCTAGCACTCATAGATTCAAGACGCAAACCCAATTCTAGGAGTCTGTGGACGGCCCGCTCGTGAGTGTGGCATGTCAAGTCCGATTGAAGTTGCTCCCATGCGGCTCTGGCCGTCGGTTCAAAGGCCCTAGTAATGGCAAAGAACCCCTGGGCTGGTCTATCAAACCTCGGAATTTTCCTATCTTCTTCCTTTTTCTTCCTCCTTCCTTCTTTTCCTCTCTCCTATGCTGTAAGCCGTACTTTCTTCCGCTGCAGGGCCAGAGGTATTTTTAATCGCATCTTCTGGCCGAGCATTCTGTGGGAAGAAAATGAGAAAGAGGAAAGAGAGATAGATTAGAGGAAGAAAAGTGGAAGGAGGGAAGAGGCTGTGCGGTTTACAGATATTCTGGCAGCCGCGGGAACGAGGCGCAATGATTCAACCGACTTCAACTGTATGAGTGTGCCTCTGGGGAATGTCATGGAAAACCAAAAGCTTTTCCGGTTTGTACCAGACGTTGATATTTCTACCTAACAGCGGATGACTGTGGTGGATTAATTTGTGGGAATATTTCTAGATTATGATACGGTTTTCTATAAACCCCGGCACTGTTACAGTGCCGAGGTTTATAGAAAAGTAATCTTTTGTGGAAACTCTCACGAGGCAAATGGAAAAGTTTATCGGTTCACACATGTTTCGACGAAACCGCCTTTATCAGAGAACGGAATTATCAAAGCGATTTGTGTCTCCGATTCCTGATTTGGAATCGAACTTCAGTAGGACCGCAGTCCTACTGAAGTTCGACCCCAAATCAGGTTATCACCCATTCACAAGGAAGACTACTTACCGTAACCCAGTCCGATCCTTGAGGCCAATAGAAAGCTGTTGAACCAGCTGTCGAACTGTTTTTGGAAAGCCAGCCTCAGGGTCTCAGTTCCGGCGTGATAGTAAGGCACACTTCCCTCCAGTTCACTTTTGGATCGACGATTTAAATGCGAAATCCCTCAAGGGTTTTTTGCGGAGGTTTGTGCCTTCGTGCCAAAACTTCAACAGCGACCCGAAGAATCTTCGTTATGGGCTGATGGTTCCGCCGAAACGTACGTAGGCCGATAAACGTTGCTATCAACCTCACGAGCGTTCTGCAAAGTAAGACTACACTATTTCTAGAGTACTTGTGTAAAATTACTGCTTTTTGAGCTCGGGATAGTGCTACATATGCAGCTTGAGTATCCGGTGTAGAAGCTCTGGAAGAATTCGGATTTCTGGAAAGATTTCTTTGATTTTTTTGAAAAATTTCGGAGTCTTAACATGTTTGGGATATCTTAATTTGACTAAAATTCAATTCAACTGATTCAGGTCAGACAATGCTGAGGACGACAAATCCTCTGATGACGTTATCCGAGAAGAAGTCCGCCGGTGTTCGATTGATACGGCTCCTGAAATGGAGATCGGACCCGCAGGTGTGCTTGTGTGTAATTGGGAATACCTCCTAATGCCCCGATAATCCTTGGCCGAATTGAAAAATAAAACTTATAGAGAACAACCATATCAAACAACCATATCAGACTTACACGGAATTAGTCGCCCTTTTAGATCCACTTCAACCGCCTTCTCCGATGCTACCAATACCAAAAGAGAATGGAATGCACAAACAATCGAGTCCTGGATCGATTTTGACGCAAATGTACGCCATGAATGCGCCTCCGATTCCACTGGTGGAAGCTCGTACAATTGTGAAGTTCATCTTGCTCGCTTGCAAAATGGGAACGTCAGCTCTGAGTGGAGCCAATCGAAGTTCACGTAAGATTACATTACCTTTTATGACACTTAGCTCACAACACATAAATTGAACAACGAACAGTGACTGAGGCCGTTCTGTCAGCTGAGTGTGTCGGTGGCGCCAGTTTGCTCCAAGGCGCGAGCCTACACCGCGACACTTTCACTTACAGCTGGGTACAGCCATACTGCATTGCTGCTCTATTGGTAGGGGTAGTGGAAGCCGTATGCAGAATTCGCTGGGCGCAGACGAACCAGTAGATATTTGACGCGAAAAGTCGTTTTGGCAGTCCTGTAATTGCTGTGATCTGTCGAAATTGCCGATGTGTCTTAAAAATGCTGCGTGTTCCCTTGCCGAATCTCTTATACATACGTCTTTGCTTCTCTTCCGTTTGGACCATCGCAGCCGTCGTTTCGCTCGCTGCTGTGTGCTGGGGACGCCTCTTGTCATCATCAGATAGGGCTCATATGTTCTCT